TCTACGTGTCTAATTATATACTCTACTTTTCTACTTGCCTGACTAAATATTCTACTTTCCTAATTTTCTGCTTCTCTAATTACGTACTATACTTTTCTACTGGACTATATACTCTACTTTTCTAATTTTCTACTTGTCTAATTAAATACTATACTTTTCTACTTGTCCGACTATATATTCTACTCTTCTACTTGCCCAATTACATATACTCCTCTACTAGTCTGGATATAACCATCCTTTTCTACTTGTCTGGCTATAACCATCCTTTTCTACTTGTCTGGCTATANGTCTGACTATACACTCTACTTTTCCATTTTTCTACTTGTGTAACCATATACTATACTTTTCTATTTGTCTTTCTAAATATTCTTCTTCCCTGATTTTCTCCTTGTCTAAAATTACATACTATGCTTTTCTACTAGTCTGATTATATACTCTACTTTTCTAATTTTCTACTTGTCTAATTAAATACTATACTTTTCTACTTGTCTGACTATACACTCTACTTTTCCATTTTTCTACTTGTGTAACCATATACTATACTTTTCTATTTGTCTTTCTAAATATTCTTCTTCCCTGATTTTCTCCTTGTCTAAAATTACATACTATGCTTTTCTACTAGTCTGATTATATACTCTACTTTTCTAATTTTCTACTTGTCTAATTAAATACTATACTTTTCTACTTGTCCGACTATATATTCTACTCTTCTACTTGCCCAATTACATATACTCCTCTACTAGTCTGGATATAACCATCCTTTTCTACTTGTCTGGCTATAACCATCCTTTTCTACTTGTCTGGCTATAACCATCCTTTTCTACTTGTCTGGCTATAACCATCCTTTTCTCCTTTTCTGGCTATATAACCATCTACTTGTCCGACTGATTTTATCTTTCTCTTCACACCATTTTTCCGCATATCGACTTCAATCGTGTTGTCGGACTGTGTACAACGATACTTTTCTACTTGTCTGGCCACCGGACGACTCATTTTACTTGTCCGATCACAGTACGCCTGTATTCCATTTCGCTGCTCGCGAGTATCGATTCCATTCTACTTGTCCGACCATTGAACATCCTCATACTACTTATCTGATTATAATCATCGATTTCGTTCCGCTTGTTCGACCGCATACCATCCCTTTCTACTTGTCGGTCAATGCGTCACCGTAAATTCGAATTGTACAAACCACGCGGCGTCGTCGCCAAAATTGATCGCGAAACCAGCCAGCCGGGGGGAAGCAGAATTTTCCGAATCTCTTCACAGTATGTAAATCCACCGGTGGAAGAAGGCGCGATCTCCTCGGCAGAAAGCCGGGGGCACACTTGACCCAGTTGTCAACCAGTCGAAATCTCAATCGCGATATTAACCGCGATCGCGCCGATACGATCGAGAAGTAGTATTCGTGGAATGCGGTCCGGCGTGATCGATGGAACGCCGGGAACGTAATTAGGTTGCCTGTACCGGCGTCCGAATGAAGCCCGAATGCCTCTCGTTATCTCTTGTTATTTAAACGCGGCCGCGATAAGTACTCGTAAATCGCCGGCCGATTGCCGGATTCTCGCGTTTCTCGCGGATCCGTTGCGTTTTTATCGAAGCCGAACGGTTTTACGGCCGCAAAAGAATATCGCATGGTTTTGCGAGGTATTGGCTCGCTTTCACGAAATTCACGAGCAGCTGCATGCAGATCATTTCGCGAAATGCGGACCGGCTGTGCGCCGCACGCGAATGTCCGTTATTCGCTCGACTTTGCGACTTGGTCGCGACCGTTCGTGTCTTTTATCAGATTGAACGCGATCGGCAGCATCGACTGTCTCAAAAGCAGTTTGTAAAATGAGTTAATTATGAATTGAGACCGAGAGAGAAGTCGTTTGCCGAGAGAATTTATCCTGGGGGATTGCGAAAATTTATTGGTCTTTAAAGAATGATGTCGAGAGTCTTAACAATGAAATTTTTTATTGAAAAAGAGATCAGGCCGAACGAAGTAATTTGACATGGACATAATTCAATGATCATAAATAATAAAAAGAAGAATGGGAAAGTTAATATTTGTTTATAGAAGTTGGTCGTTAGACTTGGACTTTTTAAATTGTTATCAAGCCAATTTAAAAAATGACATACATAAAAGACTTCAATGTTTGTCATTCAAATGTGAGATATTTTTTGGTTCGTTTTGATGCTGTTGCTTACGAAAAAATTGTAGTGGAAGATCATTCGGGAAACTATAATATGCTAATTCAGCGAATAGTGCAACACTGACCTTGCCAGAAAGGAATTCTAATCAACATTTAATCGAGTCCAATCAAAATATTAAGAAGATTCGAAAGAACGAAATTCTTTATTAAATTTGTAGCTTTTCTACATTGTTACACACACTATCGAAGAAAAATTGTAGTGGAAGAACATTCAGGAAATTATAATATGCTAATTCAGCGAATAGTGCAACAGTGACCTTGCCAGAAAGGAATTCTAATCAACATTTAATCAAGTCCAATCAAAATATTAAAAAGATTCGAAAGAACGAAATTCTTTATTAAATTTGTAGCTTTTCTACATTGTTACACACACTATCGAAGAAAAATTGTAGTGGAAGAACATTCAGGAAATTATAATATGCTAATTCAGCGAATAGTGCAACAGTGACCTTGCCAGAAAGGAATTCTAATCAAC